TTTATTTTTAATATTAATTAATATAAAAGAAACAGTAATTACATTTTTAAACACAAGAAATACCTTTTCTTTAATGACTTTTTGTGGTACGTACTTATTACTCCAATATAATACTCTAATGATTTAGTGTTTGAATAATTTTGGTGGTTCGTGCGACTTTTTGCCACCTCAGACAGCACTATTAAACGGGGATGTGGGGAATGACGTTGCTTTTTCAAAGGGACCGACTTTCGAAAGTCAAACAAATTTGGTTGACTTTTTTGAAGATTTCGTTTCCTTTGAAATACTCTCAACTAGAACTAATAGTCTCAAGTTTCAACTGCGTTAGGCGGGGCGAGGAAGAAAAAGAAAAAGACGGCTGTCGGCGGTCGGTGGTGTTAGGAGAACGTCGAGAGAGAGCCGCCGCATGGACCGGGAAAGAGAGGGTGAAAATTAGGAGATTTGAAGGGAGGAAAAGAAACGTGATGAAAGAAAGGATGAATCCGCAGAGATGGATGGAAGATTTAAAAAGTACATTATAGGTATTTTGTGATTCTATTTTATAAGTTTATTTTTTTGGTACTAAATTTTTATTATTCAATAATTACATTGGTTTTTCAACTAATCCAAAATTAAATTATGTCAAATTTTTACAAAAAAAAAAAATCTCTCAATACTTATTTTTATATTTATAAAATTTAAACTTGAGATTTTATGTAAGAAAAACTGAATTTCTTCTATTTAATGAACAAATTATAAGTTTTATTTTATAAGTTTATAGTTTGGCTGTAAGATTATATTAAATTGTAATGAGGGGGTTGTATCTTCTAAAATGCTAATTAACCAATGATTCATGTTAATATATACAAAAAGTATTATTGTATAGTTTGAAGGAAATAAATATAAAATATTAAGAATTTTATCTCATTGAATAATTTATATTTTATAATTTAGTATAATTTAAATAATAAAATATGATTTTCTTAACATATTTTTACTTATTTTCTCTAATATAATCAAAATAGTATTTGGATTGCACTTCTGAATTGGATTTGATTTGAAGAACGGAATCTTATTTTCCATTTTTTTCCCCTTTTCTTTTACTTCATAAAACATTTCCATTACAACATTGTTTTCTATTCATAGCTAAAGAAAGTTAGCACTTAACATTACAAAATGTGAATTTTAGATTTTGAATCAAAATCAAGATTTTAAATTAATATGTGTCAACTTAGTTTAATTAGTATTTGGGTGAAGTGTACTTTGTTGTTAAACTAAGTGATACATATTCTGGAATAACACCTGTTGGTCCTGTTCCCTTCACTTGTTAATTATTTGATTTCCATCATTGATTACCATCGTTAATTAATTGATTTTGGTTTCTCTAGTCTACATGTTATTGAGGTTTTGTATTCATAAATTAAGTTTCGTTTTGGACCATTACTCTTGGATTATCTAAAGTACTGAATTAAATTCAAATTAAGATTCTTTTTCCTTCCCTTTTATTAAAATCAATCAAATTAATTATTAATGATAGATTTTATATTTTTCTCAGTTCCATGATGCTTTGTTTTAAATAATATGAAGATTAGGGGAAAACAAGCTACTACTAATATTTTATTAGGGAGATGTTGGAGAAAAAGCCAGAGTCTATCCCATTACCTTATTTCTAATCAAGAAACCAGTACACTCAGTTTAAGGGCTAATCAACATAATATTTTATCATTGAGGATAAGATTAGAATCAAAAGCAATGTCTAAACCATGTACGACAAATGAAAACCCTCACTGCAAAATGCTTACTCTACACATTTTTCATATTTTATTTTTACAAAAAGCATCAAGTAACTAGGGATGTCAATGGGTCATGTGGGGTAGGGAGTCCCTCCCCATCTTGGTCCCCATGAATGGTAGGGAAAAGGATTCCGTCCGAATTTTTAACAGGGGGTAGATTTTGCCCATCATCCCCATTCCTCACTAATTAATATTATAATACAAATTTTTTACATATAATTAATTAATATTTAATTATAATTAATAAAATTCTAAAATTTCAAGTATAATTAAGATCTCCGTGGGAATCCCTATTCCCCACTAATTAATATTAAAATACAAATTTTTTTACATATAATTAATTAATATTCAATTATAATGAATAAAATTCTAAAATTCTTTAAATATAAAATCAAATATAAATTATCCAAATAAATAAAGATCAATTCAACATAAATAACTAAATCAACAAACTTGTTGATGATGGGTTGGGTTAATTTTTATGGATTGGGTTGGATAAAATTAGAATAAATTTAATTTTTATTGGAGTGGATTTGGGTTTGAAGATTGAATTAAATTTAAATAAAATTAATTTACATATTTTTGTAATTTTTTGGAGGATGGGATTCCCGTGAGGTGGGGAAAATTCCCCACAAAATTTCGCAAGGAGTAATACCCCCTATCCCCACCTTGCCCCGTTGGGAGGAAGATTCCTTCTTACCCCATCCCCGTGGTGGGGATCCCTACGAGGCCTGATGGAAATTAGGGCAAATTGCCATCCCTACAAGTAACTACACACTAAATTATATAATTTAAAATTTTTAACATATTTTTTAATTTAGTTCCTTGTTTTGCTCAAATTATATTTTATTAAGGCAAAACCTTGAAATTCACCCCTCAAAAAAGGTGAACAAAGGTAGATTCATCCTAAAAAATGTACATGAATAAATTATCTTTTCAAATTATAAATAAAAACAAATCATCCATTTTTTAACGGATTTTGTTTGCCACGTAAATATTTTTTAAGGAAAAGTTGACAAAATCTATTAAAAAATAAGTGATTTGGTTTAATTTATAATTTAAAATGATAATTTATCTTTATATTTTTCTGAAGAGTAAACCTTACTCATTTTTTTATGAATGAATTTAGAGGTTTTACCTTTTTATTAATTAGTACAATTCAAACAGTAAAATAAAATATTTTTATGCCAATCAATCATTTGTAAATTATAATTTTTTGTTCATTTGTTTATTATCGATTGGTGGATGACAACATCTGTTACGCATATTATAGTATCGATAACATTTTTTAATGATAAATGGGTTCGTCTGAGGTTGCTGTATAGTTTAAACCGTGTGGATACATTCTGTGTTTACAGAAATACCAAAATGATAATATCATACGACAGTCATAGAGGTTTGGAACTCAAGGCTGAAAGTTAAAATGTGGAGGTAGACGTCTTGCATTGCCAAAGAATAACAGTAAGGTTTCAATTTCCCAATGTTAAACAGTACTTAACAATGAGCAAAACCCCATCCTAATAATGTTTTTCCCCAACATTACATAGGATGTTGTAAACCTGCAACTTCTATACTCCATTCTTTTCCTGTACAAGCTTCTAACCAGGGTATCTAGCAATGCAGAAGAGTTTTATGGGATAGCTTCAATTTTCACTCGTAAAACAGCCTCACTATAGCTTTTACTATCACTACTAGTTACAAGGGAGAGAAAAAAAAAAAAGAAGAAAAAGAAAAAATAGAAGAGAGTTCGGATGCAATGTAGCCTGTACAACAAGACACATGGTCTACCTCCTAATGAGAATTTGTTGAAACTGATGATTCTTTCCTCAATTCATCCATTTGCTTCTCCTGTTGCTTTTTCAGGTACCTTTGTGCAGTTGCTGTCACAATCTTGATAAAGAAGTTCATGAGCATGAGCCAGACAAATGTGTTCCACATTGAAGCAAATGAAAAATCCCACTTGTTCACCTGCCAAGTATTTCATGTAGAGTTTAACAAGAAGAAAGATTTATTAACTGGAAAAATCTACAGAGCATCTAAAAACCTTGCGCTTTTGCCTGAGATTCTAAAGACCATGGTCTTTAGAACTCAAGGAGAAAGAGGTACCAGCCTATAACAGATCCTATTCAAGTAAGGTTGTCTAAAGACCATGGTCTAGCTAAAGGATGGGTGTAATTCTTCCCATTCCCATGGTGTTGCATTGAAGGAGAAAAATCTCCTCTTATTATTATTATTATTCTTTAATAAAAAAACCTCATATTTCAGAAATGGGCACTCCATGGTCAAAACACATGCTAAAATTTCAATGGATCTTCAATATAGCTGCATGGAGAAGCACACCTTGACATTAGTCCGCACTAGATGTGGTGCTGCCAAGTACTTATCTTTGACTGCATGGAGTTTTGCCGTGAGCTCAGGCAGGAAAGTATCAAAACCGGGTACAAGGCTGAGGACCCAGATCAATTCATTCTCTATCCAGTCAAGAAGTTGATTGTTGCAGACAGAGATGATAAAAACTGTCTGCAAGAAGGGAAACAAACAAAAATTGATGAGGTGCCCATACATATTGGAACCATAAAATCGAATCATGCTTTTTATTTCACAAAAAACGGAAAAGCTAGAAAATTTCATATTCCTCACAGTAGAAAATTCAACTCATTTTATTTAAGACACTTCATAGTTGCCAATCTTTGTGGAGAAATGATAAAATATAGATTCTAGATCCTAAACTGAAGCAAAAATACCAATGTCAAGAGAAGCTATATTTACCTATCTTTTTGACCTAACATGCATCAAATTTAAAAGCTGAAGTTTGAGACATAATTTTGACCAAATTCGGGAGAAGCAATATATAATTATATGAATAGAGATCCACTTACATTCAAGTCTTACACACTATATTTATACAAAATCTTAACCATTTATCTCTCCACTTTCAATGGTTGAGATTTATTCACTTTTCATCATATTTATTAAAGATAATTATCTTTTTCATCTAAAAAGTCATGATAAATCTCAACTATTAAAAGTGGAGAAATAAATGATTAAGATTTTGTGTTAAGTGTGGTGTGTAAGATTTATATGTAAATGGATCTCTACTCTAATTATATGTCCACCTTTTTAAAACATGTTCAAGATGTAACATACATCATATATAAAAGATAAGAAGTTCGAGATGAAGTATAGTGCAAAGAAGAATTCCACAAACCTGTATGTGAGTTTTGAAAATTGCCTTGCCCAGCAATGTTGCAAGAAAGAACTTCCAGAATGGAATGCCAAATTGTCCGCACATGATGCCAGCAAGGTCAAATAGGGGATTTGGGACCTAAAGTTAACCAACAGTTTTCATATTAAACTTAAGCCAGTAATGTCATAAATAGATCTAATGAACCAGAATTTTCACTATTAACAAGGGCTAGCAATGTCATGATTATGATAATTAAAAAATAAAATCACAGAACAATTGTTTCATTCACATTTAAACACCACTGTGTTTTCTCCAAACTGACCTTGGAACAACTGTAACACTTCATAAAGAACATAAGTTAGAATGTTGAATGATATTTACCTAAGCAAAAAATCTAAAAGAAAACCATTGAGCTATGCCAAATTTTTTAATAGGTATTTTAGTTTCCACTGGGAAAGTATTTTATTTGGAAGTGTCAGCCAGAGATTCTGCACCTTAGAATGGATGGATTCAGATTTAGTATCTGTATATCTTTAGGACATTTTTATGAACAGACATGCATAAGCATAGGCATAAGCATACACACAAGAACAAACGCAAAAAAGAGAATGCCAAGAAATTAGAAGAAATTGAAACTAACCGAAGCTAGCACTAAAATTGTGAAGAAGTTCAAATGTTGGATGTGAGACCAAAGCCAGCATTTGATCAGTTTCAGATGTGTAGCCATGAATCCATTATCCTCACTTGAGGAATCTTCCAATTCTTCCATGGAATTCACTTTGCTTCCTGACATACTTGCTGCACAAAAAGCTGAAAGATTAGACTATTTAATTACATATTTGATGTGTTCAAATTTCATTACACATTTCTCCCTATATAACTTGACATCATGAATCATTCCAGGTTCACGTCAAAGGGGAATTCCCACAAGCTGCTTAAAGAGAAAAGGTTTAATCTCAACTTCAAATGAAAAGTTAAATAATTTGAAGAGGTTGAAATACAATGAAAACTAAGATGAAATTTAATGAAAATGTCTATCCAAGTTAATTTCAATAAACAAGATTATAAATCAAACTGCTGCTACTCAAATTCAGTTAATCTGAGAACCATGAGAGCCAATTTTTATTGACTTATGAATTGGCTCCAGAATATCCTACTGTACACCGGAATACGAAAGCTTTAATAAAGCAACCGAAACAATGTTCATGAACTGAAGCCAAAGAAAAATGAAAAACAATTATGCTTAAAGTGAAATATCAACCCTAATGTAGATGTCCTATTTTCCACTATACAACATATTAACCTCCAACCACCTCTCCATGGACTTGATATCCTCCACAGTGTGCCATATAAATTAATTAGCAATGTAATTTTAGAAAATAAAAAGGGTTTGCCCTCGTACCTGCCCTTGAGAGAAAATATGGAGGAAGCTCCCCTAGTGTGGTCCCAACACCCCATAAGATAGCCTCCATTTGAACCTTTGGCAATATGCTGCTAAGAGGAACCTGTAACCCATGTGATGACTGAAACAATGGGGGCCCAAATTCTTCACAGGATTTGTCCAGCCATGAAGGACCTCTTTTCAACTGTATTGTATCATATGGAGCACTTTTCAGATCAACTCGGCCACATTGCATTGCTTTTATAGTAAACAGGGCAATATGAGGACCCAAATAAAGGACAAAGGTGTGTAGACCAGATCCTGAAATTGAGAATGTAAAGGAGAAAAATAAGATAAAAGATCAAGAAACACTGCCAAAATGAAAAACAATAAACGTACTTTACAATAGAAATACATTATCAGACTTTGAAACTTTAAATGGATTCCAGACCTCATAAAATTGAATTGTTAGAAGGACCACACCAGAAGCTTGAAAAAGCAAAAGCAATAAACTAAACCTACAACTTAAAATGGGTTAGAAAACAGACCAAATCAATCCAGATACTGCATTAAGTTCAACTGAATGCAGCTTTTCTTTTCCCCATCATCTTCCCTTGAAGCTAAAAAACTGCTACGTCTCATCTCATGTCTTACTACTTATTACTTAATCTCCAGCCTACCTCTACCCCTCTTCAATTAGTCAACCTAAATCATGTCACTACCTACCGAAGCATTCCTAGGCATTCATTGTACAATATCAAACCATCAACTTGTCCTACTCTTACTTTTGTCTGAAACCAATGCCACCTTTACCACCTTATTTTACATTTCTTGAATGAATGCCCTCTCATCCACCTTTGCATCTTCATCTCATTCTAAGCTCATTGAAGAGCAGGTTATTTGTAACTGCCAAAAACTCAGGATAAAGCCTAACTGGTCGAATAGTGACTTATATAGGACTTACCTTTCAACTTGGTTGGTATGTTACACTCACACATTATCTCAACACTCCAAAGTATTTATATTCTTAATCCCTTAAATATAATTAATTATTCTAACTGAAATGCATGAAGAACATTTTTACATCTTTTATCCTCTATCATGTAGCATGCTACTGTCCGCTCTCAAATATTACATATCGATGGCTTGAACCTAGGTGAAATGTAATTCCAAAACTTACCAGACATTAAAATTACAATATGCAGAAATCACTGCACAGAGCCCAAAATTCATTTTAAGCATTGTGGATTTTGAGGAAGAGTGTGACAGACTTCTAACTTCAACATATAAACTTTAATTTTTGTAAGTTGCAGCTGCAATATAATTTGATATCGGCCATAGCATGCCAACGGTTATTGGAAGAGTTTTGAAGTACAAAACTACAATGACTAAGGCAGCAGCCAGAGATGCCTCTTAATTTTAGTTGTTTAAATTCATGAGGAATAATATTTTCCAAGCAATACCTAAACAATCTTCATGAAAACAAATGCTTCTTACCAAGGCCGATTGAAGATGCAACACCAAGTGCAATCCACCACAATCCAAATCGGGCATACTCAGATAGTTCCTTGATATGCTGAAAGAAAATTTTTTTTCAAGTCATTGACTAGTATTCATTGCTTCTACTAAACTTGTAAATGTACAATGTCAATTACCTTTTCATGAGGGCCATCAATGGTGACAAGTAGAACTCCAAAAGCAACAAATGCAGTACTTAAAAGCATAAGCCAGCCACCTTTCACCAAAAGATATACTATTGATCGCTTAAAGTATTCAATCATGGCCAAAACAAAAAATTTTAAAGTTTTGTAGGGTTGTGTTGTCAATGTGAGATTTTTCAGTTCTTGCTGATGCTTCTCACGTAGCTCTGCAAAATAAAGGATGTCCATCAGCTGATAGCAATTGATTGAGCTTCATGACTAAATATAACCATTATATGATTTCTAAGATAAATTTTACTGCCAGGATGAAACAAAAAAAAAAAACAATTCTTAAACTTATTCCTGCTTCATTCAGGAAAGTGAAGGGGATCAAGTAATTGAATAGAAGGGGAAAATTTGCCACCACCAAGTAGATGTGAAATCATCAATTGCTCATCCTAATAACCAAAGCTACATCCTTCAAAAGATTCCATTTAATCAATTGCACCTTCCTTTACGTTTTGCCCAACCCAAAAAGCAACCGAGTCACATAGAGAATCAACTATTAAGTCAAAATTTGTACCCAAAAAAAAAAAAAAATTCTCAAAATTCTAAAATCATTTAATACCTAAATTTACAATTCCTACACCCTTTGGATGGAAATTCCAACACAACAATTCTAAAGGGCAATCTCCACCAGAATATTCTTTACTATCTACTAAAAAACAACTCTTGCACCCTGATCATTTCCGTTGCAACTATAATGTCACTGAACATGGAATTTGCAGGTACCCCATAAAACACACGTTAGCAGTCTACCTGGTCCAGACACAACCCAACAAAGAGCAGTCTATCCATATACTTTGCCTTTCATTCTTCAAGTTTCTAAACTGCTCTCCTACTCACTCAAACTCAATTTATGATTTTCCTCCTCCACAAAATCAGATCGTATTCATCTAACTAAACATCTTTAAACCAAAAAACAAAAGGCAGTTAGCTTTACTATTTGGTGAAGCAATAACTAACCAACCAATCAACCAACAAGATAATAAATTTATTAGAGATCTGAAACACCCGAGCTCATTTCATTCTTATATCAAAATTTCAATCCAATAAAAAAATTCATAAAAACTACTACAAAGTTGAGATAATATAATTACCCACATCGAAATCAAGAGATAATCAGTAACCCAATAAAACAGAATAAATAAAAATAAAAATACGAATCAAGGAAAATCAAGAACTCACCTGTGATCGACATATCCATATCCTGGGAAGACGAAGTCGCGCCTTTTCCCGACCCCATTCTGCTCACATACTATTATCAAAAACCCACTTTTAATTTCCTCTATTAAACATAAAAGGGTAATTAATTTACGTATAGTCGTATGAATCTCGACAAGAAATGGATGGGGGAAAAACCCAATTGATTGCGAATGAATTTAGCAAGATCAATTGAATAAATGGTTTTTCATTTTTTTTTTTTTTCTTCTGTTGGCCAAGAATTGAAATATGGCTGAATTGCAGATCTAAAGAAGTAATAGTAGACAGAAGAAGAAGGAACAAGGAGCAAGGAAGAGTATTTGCGTGGAGATCTCTCACGGTGCAGCTTTTACCGCTCCCTCAGCCCCTGCCCGAGATTGTGAGAATAGAATCATAGAAAGAGAAGACTTTGACACTGTCCCCAATTTAGATTGTGTCTCTTTCTTTCTTTTTCAATTTTTTTTTTACTGTTTTTCTTCTTAATATTTCTTAATTTTTTATGAAATATTCGCATCATCCCTCAATTTGGAGTATAAGAAAAAAGTAGTAAAAAACGTTATTTTAGTAGAAGCATTATAAGAAAAAAATAGTATAATTTATGTTTTAAAAATAAAAATTGGTGTTTGTTAATTAAATTTTTTAAAAATTAAGAAAATAAGCACTTTAAATTATATTGTTTTTATTAAAGTATCATTTAAAAAAATAAAATAAACTTAATTGTGATTTAAAAATAAGTTTTTTTAATTTTTTTAATGAGAGTTTATTTAAATAAAGTAATTAAAAAATTTCTTAATTTTTTAAAAATTTAATTGATAAATATTTTTTTAATATTATCTTATATCCTAAAAATATGTTATTTTAATTTTGTTAAATAATTTTTCTTCTATGGATCCATTTTTGTTTTTTTTTTTATTAATCAGCAAAAACACTGATAATAAAAATTTATAAGAGATATGAAAGTTAATAAAAAAAACAGCCTTGATAACTTTACAATAGAGAAAATTTGTTCACTTTTTCAAATTACTTCACACTTAAGATATTCAACATTAACTCAAATTCATAACTATGAAAACATCTTCAACGCAGCACTCATTTATTTGATAATAAATTGAGTTTGCAATGGTACCTTGACTCCTTATTATGAACAAATTTTAAATGCTCAGTGATCCCTAAACCTCAAAGTCAAACCCTAGCCGTGTAGTAATACCATTAATAAAGGATTTAGAGTTAAAAATTTTCCACACCAAAATTTCTCACAAAATCAAGTGACATAAAAAGAGAAGGTTATTTTAATTTCTGCCCTTAAAATACAAATTAATGCTATATTAATTATATTATGTTCATTAATAGTTAGAAAAAAAAAATAATTTTAATTTTATTAACTGTTAAATTAAAATTGTTTCTATATTATTGTTGT